TCTTATCTTATTTATATGAAATAACTATTTATAAGTTATCATTAAGTAAAGTTTCTGTACAAAATTGATCTGTAGATCTTGAAATACTTTCCAACTAATCTACAAATGTCTTGCAGCACGTATATCAGGCAGTAAATTAGAGGCCATGGAAGAATTCGATGCTACTTCATCAAAAGAGGACGGGTTTATATGCGCATCACTAAAGCAAATAAAACGCTGGTTTCTTACCCATTCACAACATCTGAACTTTTTTACAATCCTCCTGCTTGCTTCGGTTAGTTTATTTCCTCCACGTTTATGCATTGATGCAGTTACAGGAATCGGTTTATGAACCATTTTAAGTTACGTATCTACTCATCTATACCTAAAGGAGAACCCAATGAATAACTGTTTGTGCTACAGTAAATACTATAATATGAACAGTAAAACAAACCGGATCCTCTGCAGCCTAAGAACGTTCATGCTACAGTATTTACTGTAGCATAAATAGTAAATCAAATCTACTCCTTCATAGTTGAAGTTACTATTCATGCTACAATAATTTACTACATCATAAACAGTAAAGCAAATTAAATGTGTTAAAGTTTGGATCCTTTTTAAGTATAGAGGAGTAGATATGATTTCTAAATCAAATGTATTAAAACTTGGATCCTTGTTTAAGTATAGAGGAGTAGATATGATTTCTAATTTTAAGCATACAATAATTTAAATCAAATAATGCAGTGTTTAAAAAAAATAAAATAAAGGGCCGTGCTTTGCACGTGGTTCACACTAGTGTTATAGATGGCTTGAAAAACATTCACTGTTAATATTGATTTAGTTATAAGGCAATTGAAACAAATTCAGTTTTCTTTTTATTTGTAAAAACAGGCTATTACCGGTTATATAATCCATTGCCCCTGCAAGTCATATGAAGCTTGTTGTGTTTTGTGAGAGAGCAGCTCCTTTTATTAGGTCTTTGCCCTTCTACAATATTCTTATCTTTGTGTGTATAGATGCACAGATGTATGTTCGTGCTCACACAAACAGGCTGAAGTATCTACAACTGATATTTGAAACTGAGAAATCTTTAAGTTTGAGGAAAACGCAGAACTTTATGGATTTGTGTACTCTTTATGCAAGTCAATAGTCATGACCTTTTGCAATTAAGATAATATTGTCTTTGTTATTGTTGGCTGGACTAGTTTTCCCTCATACTGTTAATTCAAAATGGGTAAATCTTTTTTCAGGTAAGATGGATGTGCATGCTCATATATGAAATTATTATTTAGTTCTAACCTGAAGTTGAAAAGTCCTCTGAAATGTATATATGTCGACAACCATTGTTTTAAATATCCCCGACATGGCCCGATATATCCCCCGATATATCCTTTTACAAGGCTTGCCGCAACCGATATGGTCTTTAAATATCCTTTACCGCTTTTTGGCTATTTTGAATGATAAATCCCCGATATGGCCGATATGTTAGCCGATATGTGGACCAATATATCTTTTTATATAGCTTGTTACAAAATAATATACCGTGTTTGGAATTTTTGGGTGAGATATCAAGATTTTCCCATTATATCAAATGCCATTTTGCCCTAAAAGCAGATCGAATGTTGCGACGTTGCTTTGCACTTTTGTTTGTTTTAGAAGGTTGATTAGTGATCCTAAACATATATTATTCATATTTTGTATGCTTAAATTTTATTACATATGTTGAGATTACATTTTAATGCATTATACTATGTATGCAAACATTCATTATGACATTCCGATATTTACCACATATCCCCGATATTTCCCCGATATCCACAATCCGATATGAATTTTGGTCATCCGATATTTCCCCAATATCCGAAATTTAAAACCTTGTCGACAACAGATAACTATAAAATTTGCATCTTAACTTAGTTGCTTAACTTTCTATGTTTATTAGGTTACCTTGCATTATGATAATTTCTGTTGTGCTTTTGACAATGAAAACTGCACTTCATTTTCCTGGCATTCAATCAAAGAAGAGTCTTATTCTTCCAGTTGTTTCCATGTTATCAGGTGCCAAATCCATTATTTGACCTTGCTGGTATCATGTGTGGGCAATTTGGGATCCCATTTTGGAAGTTCTTTTTAGCAACTGTGATTGGAAAGGCATTAGTTAAGACTCACATACAGGTAAGCTGGTTCTCCGTTAATGCTTGTTTTGTTGATAGCTAGATAGGAATCAATAGTTTCTGCCTGTATTTGTTGCTTCTGCGGGTTGGGTTAGTGGAATATATGTCTTGGAGAAAACATTAAGATTTGCCTACTAATGCACTTTTCCCCTTTGATTAATAACTGTTTCTGATTAGTGATTACTAGTGATTTGTTTATGCTTTTGCAGACCGTTTTTATCATCTCAGTCTGCAATAACCAACTTTTTCAGTGGGTGGAGAATGAGTTCATTTGGGTGCTTGATCACATTCCTGGATTTGCTTCTCTGCTTCCAAGCATCATTGCCAAATTACATAACCTCAAGCAGAAGTTTATGTCAGCACCAGTTCCAGATACTGCACAAAAGGTAGGCAAGGATAAAGTCACTTATCATTTTCACATCTGATACGAATTTGATCTTCACCAATATTCCCAGTATAACTTCAACATTTGCCCAGTCCAGGGTTTCTTATTCTCATTTAGCATATAGAATTGCATCAATTAATGATATGATACTTGATACAGCATCCCCATTCTGACAGACGACAGTCTTGCTATTGACTTAATGATTGTGAAAAAGAATTTGTGGGGCTAACACCCAAAATATGTACAATAGTTCCTTTCAAGTAGGGATGGAGGCAAACCAAATAGTCGAACACATGGTTCGTTAATTGTTCGGCTAAATATTCGGGGTTATATTCGGTTCAATAGGTCATTTAATAATAAATGATAGATTTTAGTATTCAGTTTATAAACGAGTAGAATCTAACCAGAGGTACACTTGATTAGTTTGATTATTGAATATTCATTTAATAATCAGCATAATAGATTTTTTTTAATTCTAATTAGTTAACAAAATATTTTGACTGTAGATTCTCTTATCAATTAGATTGAGGGAAAAATTGATTGAAAAACAGTTTGGAGGATATGTTTCTTAAAGAAGACCCAAAATAAAATTAATAGAGGTTGAAATGGCCATAGGTTCTTGAACCAATGACCAGTAACTATTCACATATTCTTGAATAGTTAACAAATAGCTAACTATGCTAGCAAGTTGAATTCAAAACCAATTTGATATCTGAACCAAATATGAATTTGGCAAATGTAACTGAATTTGATCCGGATATCCTATTATTCTGTTTGATACGATTCGTTTCCACCCCTACTTACAAGCTTCTGCTAACACAAAGTTGAAAAATTTTCATCGTCAGCTATATGGACCTGATTGCTTGTATCATCTCCTGATCTTATTTTTAAACTTCTGCTCCCTTTTCATCAGGCAAAACAGTGGAATCTATCATTCACTCTGGTATGGAACACTCTGATTTGGTTGATGATCCTGAACTTCTTCCTGAAGATAGTCACATCTACTGCACAAAGATATTTGAAAAAGCAGCAAGAACTGGAGATAAAGCTGCATGAACAAAGAACAGGTAATTAAAGAGTAAACAAGAACCTGCAAGCAAATAATTATTCATGTCCGCCATCTTGCCTGAGCATGGTCGGCTGAGACCATTGGAAATCATTCGCGATTGAAGTCGAATATATGCATCATATCCCCCAAGATTCTTTTGTGTATAGATGACACTGATTAAAGTTATTGAATCATTGGAGGCAGGTCTATTTTTGTCCCTGCCTGGGGGAGTGAGCATAATTGTTCTGATTACTGCTAATTAGTTATTCATTTGATTATTGCAACGAAGTTTGTTTTTAACTGTTTCCTTGATATCATTATTGCGTTGGAGAATTAAAATTACAGTTATTACTATAGTAAGACTGTTCCCTTTGTTTAGGGGTTCTTCGACAATAATATCTGAATAATTTTACATAAGCTTTGAGTTTCTAGACATGGATCCCTTTCATATAAGTGAGGTTATCTTCTGGGTACAAAATTTTTATTGTATTGTGATCCTAGGTTTGGTTTTCTTCGTGTAGCTTACATTCAGGACTATGTAATTGAACGAATTCTTGTTGTTTTAAGAGCCTGTTTGTTTGCACGAAAGTTGTAAAGAAGCAACTGAAGTAGAGGAAGTTTCTCCTAATTCAAGCAAAAAATTATGTTTGTTTCTCCGAAAAGACTATTTCAGCTACTTCCATAAATGCAGATGTGGCGTCTAGATGACACTCATACTTCCTAGATTTTTTTTCGCCCTTGAAAGCTCAGAAGTAGAGGGGAAGTGCATAAAAAGTGGGGTCCACTTAAATTAGAGATTTACCAAGGGCAGATGATCTTTAATAATATAGCAAATTTCTATCCAAACAAACAAGTAAATAAAAGAAGATGATGAAGTACTATTTCTGCTACTTCTAAAAATATATGAAACAAACAAAATAAGTACTACTTCTGCTACTTTTTACTTTATAATTGAGGAAGTTATATTTTTGATCTACTTCTTACTTCTAATAGTTATGTTCATCCAAACGGGCCCTAAAGTGAAAATTTGCCGTACTCATTGTGATCATGAAGTTTGGGATTTTTTTATTAGATTGTGATGATAAAAATTTGGTTCTTTTTTGGATTTTATTTTTGTGTTAACCGAGATTGTAAAGTTATGTAATTTTTTGGATGTACAATTTGCAGTAATAGTAATGAACTATGCTAGATATTTGTATCCGAGAAAATATCCTTATCCCGTATCCGTGTTTGTTAGGATGCATATATGGTTACTAAAATCAATATCCGATAGGATATATGATAATTGATATGGTTAAGTAGTGAAGTATCCGGATTCGTATTCAAAATATCCAAATATATATGTTGGTCATATAGTCGCAACAGTTTTCCTCCCAAATTAACGAATTTGAGGCTAATTTTGATGATCAAGAGATCTAATTTTAGTTCATTAGATATAATGAACATATTAATGAACTCCTTTGTATCATATGAGATATATATATTTTTTCAATCTTATCTAGTTTTGTCATATCCGTTTTGTTTCTATATGTATATCTGCGTATTTGTATCCGTATCCTATCTCCGAGGACATGATTATCAAATTTCCTACCTGAGGCATATCTGTCTTATTAAAGGGGATACGAATAGGTATCATATCCGAGCCATATTTGATTAGTTTGCATCCCTACTGACCAATCACTTGATTCACTGCTCGATGATGACAATGAGAATTCCATGGCTGATCCATACAAAGTGAGCAGAAGAAAGTAGTAGGAGGCCAAGACAGATGGGTACTCGGGTTGAAACAGAGCAAGAAGCTGGGTTTAAGCAGAGGAAAAAGACGTTGGTTTTTTTATTATCTAAAATTGTTATTAGGAAATAATTAATTAGTAAAAGGGTAAATGGGTCATTTTCATAACATCTGACAGAACTGAAGGGTATAAACCCAGTATATTCCCCAAACAGAATGAGAAGCGTTAGAAATTCCCAATGTTCAGGGTAATTTTGCAAATCTCAAGATGGGAGTAGTTTTGCAAATGTGGATTCTTATTAAGTAAGGCTCGTCGTAGCTGTTTTCAACGAGATCAGGACTTGCTTAAACTGGAGGAACGGGCCTTTTTACAGCTACGCTTTTTGAGGAAGTTGCTGTGGATGCTTAAAAATGGATAAACAGAGGCCAAGTGCTAATCATGTTCTTAAACTCATAAAATACACATCATAATTGAGGAATTAAATATATAAATCCTCGAGTGGTCGCCACTAAATACTTTCCTAGTTACACCTCTTTTAAAAAAAATACTTCATATAAGGAGTTCAGTTGTATGCGGGGTACGTCCGACCTTTCATTAACTTTGGGTATTGAATATGTGAGCTTGTAGCAGCCGACAAAGACATAACTTAGTACATCCAAAATCTTAAGATAATATTAATAAGGGTTATTCCGATCATAGCCCCTTATAAAATCTTTAATATTTTGATCTTAGCTCCCCAAACCTTTGACATTGCTAATTTACAGGATGCTAATTTTTTTGATAATGTGGATTTGATAATGTACAGGATGCTAATTTACCTCAAATTGTTTGTGCTGCTTTTGATCAATCAACTAATATTTCACTAGTTTTTTTGTCGAAGGATTTTGTGAGCTTTTGCTACTATACTTCACTTTGGTTTTGTGTTAAAGTTTTAATCTCATGGATCAATATGATTTTCTGCTGAACTTTTCTATGATGGGGTTTTATTTGGTGCTGAAAAATTGCCCTATTGATTTTTTAAGGTTTTGCTCTGATATCTTAGTATGTTATTGTGCTGAAATATGATCTGTTACTTTGAGAGCTTTGTTATGTTGCCTCATTTTGGTTTTCAAATACTTGCTCAGATAGTGTAAATAATTCATTCCTGCATTAGGACTGCTATTCAGTTATTTTGATTTTTGAATAAGTTATCATGCTATCTATGTTGCTGTTAATTGTACATGGGCAATTATATAATGGGTGGGCATGATATTACAACCTACATGTATATGCATTGTAATTGATGGCCAATAATTTAGCAACATACAATGCAAAATACAATGTATTGGGTGACATTCTTTGATTTAAACCGAGCCCAATTTTTTTTAAAATGGGAAATATTTTCATTGAAATCATTACAATTTTATACTACATACTACAATGGTCAAAACAATTTGAAACAATGAGAAAAATACAAGGCCAATTAAAACATCTTTTCCATATCGAGATTTCATATTTTGCTTCTTTCAATTAATTCTTCAAAGATCTTATTTTCAAAGAATTCTTCTCTTCTGAAGTCTCTTCATTAGGTGATGTGTATGAATTGCTACTGTCACGATCGCTATTACACCATAAGAAACATGAGCAATGTCTTTTTGGGTAGTTGGCACAACCCCAAAACGTCTTGCTCTTGTTCTTTCAATTCTTGCACATCCTTAATGGTGTTAGTATATTGCAATGGCATTTGATTTCATCCCATTCCGATGCTTCAGTTTTGTGGCTGACCATAAGAAATGAGTATATTTGCAGAAATTATGAGTATTGACAATATTTATGGGTGTGAATATTTTCTATGCTCTATAGCTCTCTAGTTATACGTGTTCATGGATGAAATTCAACCGTTGCTGCTATGTATGTTACCGTTACTTGTGGTAAAAATTCAATTTGGTTGGTAAAATTACCACTATCTTATGTATAAGAAGTTCTTGTCTTTTTATGTGGGGTAAATCTCATCTTGGTGACTACATACAAGATTCATATTGATGTTTTCCCATATTTCTAGCCAGCCAAACAATTAAAATATTTTTTTATTTATATGTTTTTTATATCTTAGACACCCAACCAAACAATGACAACAGTGATTTTCTAGGATTTGGGGTTGTTTTTGCTCCAACAAAAAAAAAAAAAAATCAATTGCGAGAAGTGGCTGGAAAAAAAAATGATTTTTTTCTTGAAATTTGGTTTTCCCATAATGGGGTCTTCGAACTAAACATACCCTACATGTAAACTTATAAGACAATGTCACACCGTCGAATAATTTAATTAGTGAGTAGTGACTTATTAATTCTTAATGGGCCAAAAGCAAAAAATAAAGTGATCGTAAAGCCATTAACTTAATTAATCCAATTCACCAACATATCAAAGGGCTACCAACATATCAAAAAGCTACCATCATTTAAAAAAAAAAGGAAGCATAAGTTTATATTGAAAAGGATGTATTTGATGTTGTTTCGAGTTATGGTATTATGCAGCAATTTTAAAAAGTAAAAACATGTAGGGGTCAATTATTTAGAAGTGTTTGGAATGACGATATTATGCAACAATTTCAATAAGTGAAAACACGTGGAGGTCAACTGTAATTATATTTAATAAAATATATTTTGTATCTAATGTGAGAAAAAAATGACACCACTAGCATGTTGAGATCGGTTGACCAGGTTAAGACATCCCCGCAGCGACTTACTGAAGAATTGGGGGTCTAATTTGGAAATTTCAAGATGTGAGGGTCTAATAGATAAATTTAAAGAAGATTTGGATGTCCAATATCCAATATGACAAAAACAAAAAGCAGAGTAGAATCTTTGTCGATTCAACGACAAAGGTATAATTTTCACCTGAAATAATTACGATCATCAGCCCAAAATTGGGGTTTTTACGGTAATTTTAGGTCTGGGGAAATTGCAGCCGATGTAAGTGCGGGCATTGTTAGCGCTGCTTGATGAAGTTAATATTGGTAATTTCTTTAACCCATTCAGTTTCTTGATTCAATACGTTAATTTTAATTCTCTCAGTTAGCTTATCTTGGCTTATATAATATTAATTTGTGAACTGCTTTGGACAATTTCTTCATCATTTTGGTATTTAATGTCAGGACATTCGCATTAGTCACTGTGCTGATGCCTACTAATTTGTTTTGTCGGAAATTGAATAGTTAATGTAGAAAAAGCCTGAAACTTGAATGAGACAAGGGAAAGTTTAACTGGATTTTTTAATTTTTTTTAACTTTAGAAAGAGGGGTTGATGATTTGGGAAAATTGATTAGCGATTGAATGAATTGTTAGTTAGTTGCAACTTTAGGATTTGCCTATGCTGCTCGAGGTGGTTGGGAGACTTAATCTCGATCGAAAGAGTGAGCTTGATCCACCTGTTCTTGTACATATAGTCTATTTTAATAAAAGACAGTTGATGTTCTTTTTTTTCCCCTCTTGGAAAATGACTTCGTTAATGAATTTTACATTTTAACATAATGACTTTTCAAAGCATCTTATAATACGCAGGCTTCAGTTGTATACTAATAAGCTTTACAATATAAGGATGACCACTGTTGAATTTGCATCTTCTTCTTGGTAAGGCCATGTGCTTCTCTATAGAATAATAACTTCTATTGGTGCCAAAAAAAAAGGAAAAATCAGCTTATCTAATGTGATAGATTGATGATGTTTGGAATCACCTATGTAGGATTTTGAGTTGTTATTTTGAATATAGTATAGCTTTAGCTGTTCCATAGCCTGCTGGTACCTGTTAAACCACCCGTTTCATAAACTAACTAGACGATAGATTGTTCACAGCTTATACCTAAGATGAAACAGTCAAGGAAGTAAAGTTTGTTAGACTTTATGATGAAGAGCTGAATGAAAATACGACAACAGTTATTTTGCGGTACATGTATTTCATTTTTATTCGGCCTTTTAACTCGCAGATCAGTATAAACAATGTATTACATTCTAACACAATTTACAGAAACATACAGTTACAAGAGGTTGTAAATAGTATAAATTACACATCTTTAAGGAACAAAGATGGTTGCTCATTATGGAACTTTGAGGCATCTTGTGATCAACCTGACCTTTCTTTCAAATAACCAGGACAGATAACCTCATGCTGTCTGCCTGTTAAAATTCATGTCCCAGACTCCTTTCTTTGCTTCTGACAGTATTCGGTTAACAAGAAGCCTATCCTCATCAGTGCAATTGAGGATTGTTGCAAAATTTGGTTAACTAGTATCAAAATAGATATGATATCATTAACATGTTGTTAAAAACAATTCCATATAATAGAAAACATTTTATTTGGAAAGCATTTTCTTGACTACAGCCGTTACTTTTTTGTATGAAATTGAATGTCTCAATCATATAATTTCAATGAATTGCATTGAGCGACTATTTGCAGGTTCTGTAGTATGAACTTCAAATGCTTTTATCATCTAAACTGCTAACTCTGATAAAAGATTTTAAAAATTATGGGAACTTCAATCACATATATAAACTAGCGGTTAATGATGCTCACTGGCAAATTCTTCACCCGAGTTAAAATCTGCTAGTTTAAACGATGCAGTTGAATTAACCATTCCGGCAGCAGTTGGTCTTGGCTGCAAGGGTTCTTGAAGAGCCATTGAACAACCATGTAGCATGAGAAAGATTGATGACATATGAAGTCTATTTGCAGGTATTTCTTGAACACATTTAAATCCTATTCGAATGCATCTCAAAACTTCATTGATTGAAAAACTTTCACCCATAAATGGGTCTATAATCTGTAATGCTCTTCCTTTTCTCCAGTGTTCCCATGTCTGCAGAGGAGTTGTAATGTTAAGTTGTGGTCTACAAACAGAATTTGCGATGTCATACTTGTTGGGAACCGAAGTAGTAATATCTCATGCACGCAAGAAACTGACACTTCACATTCAGTGAATTAAGTGCTTTGAATAGATTCAGACTTTTGTTCATGTTTTGATTTGTCGTCAAACTATATAACTATGAGTTAGTGTGCCCCTCCCCACCCCCCGCCACCCCCAAAACCACAACTACCACAGTAGAAAAAACGGAAAAAAAAGAAGAAGAAAAAACTCCCAAGACTTTTCTCTCAATAAGGGCAAAAATTATTCTACACGTGAAGACAAGCATTGATATGTGATGATCTATATAACAATTGAGTGCCCTATTAAAACATGGCTCGAGGAGTTTTGTGAGAGCCAAAAATATTCTTTCATCAGGCATCTAATCAAACAGGCAAAAAATAAGAAATTTATGAAGAAGCAACTATAAAGATTGACCCTTGAGGTTTAGCCAACCATGGACTCCTACAGGAAGAGTTTGAGAAAGATTACTGTAGTAACATGGAGTACAAGAGTGCAATAACAACATTCTTTTTATGTACAAAATAGCATTGGGAACCACTCACCTCACGATCAAATAGACCCTTACAATGACAAGAGAGTAATCTCTTCCTTGGTGAAATGACTTGTCCTGATCTTGAAAGAGGAAAATCCAGACTAGCATCATGATTTATTAATTTTTAGGGGTTTGACCGATATGCCCCTCAAATATATTGTATTTTAAAATTTACACCAAAATTTTCATATTAGCCAATTTAGATTTGAATCTTTAATTTACCTCTCAGTTTTATTATTGAGGAATGAGGAATATATTGGGTACAATCCTTCATATTCTGTTAATTAATAAAAGTAGTGGAAGAGCAAGGGAGAGTTGGGGTATGTTGTCGCCGGACTAGTGCAGCTGCCTCCCCTCTCTCCTCTTTCTCTATTTTCAAAAAATTTTAATATTTTTTTTAGAGAATATAGGAAATCTAAGGGTAGGAGAATGTTAATCTAACTCTGTTAAAACTATAATAGGGGTGGGGAATAAGGAATTGTACAAAATGCAGATAGAAAATATATCTAGGAGTTCTAGGAGCGGAGCAAATGGAGCATCCATATTTCCCTTGGAGAGGGTACGAAGGGAACTAAAAGCAAGAATGTCACGACCCAGAACTGCAATGGGAGAAAAAGTCGGGGTTACACAACAATGGTCACACGTATAAGAGAGAAGTCGCACACACGTGTCAAGCCTGGCACCTCAATCACATATAATATTCTCAAAAAGTATAAAACTTGTCTGTGATGGAAGTCCAGAACTAGTACTTAACGAAGTTGTTCCAAACATAGTTTTGGAACAAAACCAAATCTTATCATTACTATCTCAAGATAACTAAGAAGTAAAAAGGGTGACTGCAAGATGTAGCACCTCCTGGCAAATTAGTTGCCACCAAAGGCCGGCTCTACAAGCAATCTATTATGAGTCTGTGAAGGGTCGAAAGCCAAGGGTTGATCCAAAGCTCAACTAGTACAATATTTACACTAGTGGATTAGATAATATGATAAATGAGTACATCAATCTTTACAAAACAATAGCTATCAAAGTTATTGTTTGTTGTTACTAGACCATATAAGGGTATGTATAAAGGAACTTGTTATGTTAGGCCTTGAGAAAATATTAAAATTTTAATCTATCATAAATACAATTTGATATGAATTACTGATATGCATAACTTGAATAGATCATACTTGATTTGAAAGTCATGCCAATCATAGGGAAATTTGTTGGGAAATTACCCAGATTTCCCTAGTACCAGATTTAAAAAAGCGAAAATAAAATGCGCAAAATTGGGGGACACGTAAGATTTACGTGGTTCGGCACAAAATTGCCTACGTCCACGGGCTGCTGCAGATCTTTCACTATTTGGAAGAAATTTTACAAACACTCACAAATTTCTCACACTCCCAGTTTCACTCAGAAAATTTCTCTCAATTTTCTCACTAAGACTTTTTGCTCTAAGCCTTTGATTTCTCTCTCTTATTCTTCTATAAGAGGAGTTGTTTCTGGGATGAGATTTTTCTTAAGAGTTTGAGGTTTATTTATAGTGTTTGGAAAAATACTATGCACTAATATTTTATTAGTACTGGGACCCGCGATGGGGTCCGTTTGCATATTTTTCTCCTCTCCTGTCATTCAATCACCGAAAGAAAGAAAACTCGGTGCCTTTTTCGTTTTGTCAAAAAAGGGCTGCCATGTGCTTTCGATGGCAGCATATATTGACCAACAATCTCCCACTTGAAGACTGATTTTAATCTGTCTTCACACCTCGATCAATGCAGCAGCTCTTTCCGGTCTTCATACTATTGCAGGCCAACTGAAGCTGAACACAGCTTCAGTTTGTCAGTAGTCACCGTCTTTGTCAGCATGTCTGTCGGATTTTGAGCTCCACTGATCTTTTCAAGCTTCAAAATTCCATCTTCCAGAAGTGACCGAATAAAATGATACCACATCTGTATGTGCTTCATTCTGGAATGGAAAGACGGATTCTTTGCTAGATGAATAGCACTTTGACTGTCGTAATATAAGACACCGTCTTCTTGTTTCTTGCCTAATTCATCCAAGAAATTTTGAAGCCACACCATTTCCTTGCTGGCTTCTGTAACAACGATATATTCTGCTTCAGTTGTGGAGAGAGCAACTATCTTCTGCAGTTGAGAAGCCCAACTCACTGTAGTACCTCCTAGAGTATATACATACCCTGTAGTGCTCTTTCTGATATCAACATTTCCTGCTAAATCAGCATCTACATAGCCTGTTAGTATTGTATCTCCACCTTTGAAACAAAGTACTTTACCTGTGGTGCCCCGTAGATATCTGAGGATCCATTTGACTGCTTCTCAGTGTACATTGCCCGGATCATTCATGTACCTGCTAACAGCTCCCACTGCTTGAGCAATATCTGGTCTTGTACAAACCATGGCATACATCAGACTTCCAATTGCTGAGGCGTTCTTCCTCTGTCTTCGGTGACTGCTCTTTGGAAAGTCTGAAATGAACACCTAAAGGTGTACCCACTGTTTTAGCATCTTGCATATTAAACCTGGAGAGTACTTTGTTGATGTACTCAGCCTGTGATAACATCAATGTCCCAGATTTCGTGTCTCTTTTGATCATCATTCCAAGAATCTGCTTTGCGGCTCCAAGATCTTTCATTGCGAACTGCTTTGACAATTTCTGCTTTAAATTTATAATCTCTTGCAGATCTGATCCTGCAACGAGCATGTCATCAACATATAATAATAAAATAATAAAGCTATTGTCAAACCTCTTGAGATAGCAACAATGATCTGCTTGTTCCTATCTAGTGAAACCGTTGCTGCCCATGAAGTTGTCGAATTTCTTGTACCACTGTCTGGGAGCTTGTTTTAATCCATACAAGCTTTTCTTCAAATGACATATTAGATTTTCCTTGCCTGTCTTTATGAAGCCTTCTGGTTGCTTCATATAAATCTCCTCCTCCAAATCACCATAGATTTTCCTTGCCTGTCTTTATGAAGCCTTCTGGTTGCTTCATATAAATCTCCTCCTCCAAATCACCATGAAGGAAAGCTGTTTTTACATCTAATTGCTCAAGATGTAAATTCTCAGCAACTACAATTTTTAACACCAGTCTGATTGTAGTCAGTTTCACGACCGGGGAGAAAATTCTTATAGTCAATACCTTTCTTTTACTGAAAGCCTTTGACAACCAATCTTGCCTTGTAGCGCTTGTTCCTATCATGCTCTTCTTTGATCCTGTAAATCCATTTGTTATGAAGAGCTTTCTTACCTTGTGGTAATTCAGCTAAGTCCCACGTCTGATTTAACATGAGCGAGTCCATCTCATCTTGCATAGCAGACTCCTACTTGACTGAATCCTTCACCTGTATTGCTTCGTCATAACACTTCAGTTCACCACTGTCAGTCAGCAACAGATAGTGCAAAGAAGGCGAATAACGCTGGGTTGGCTTAGGAATTCTGGAGGAGCGTCTCACTTCTGGCGTGCTTGGTTCTTCTTGAACTGCTTCAGGGCTAGTCTGAACATCTTTTTCAGAAATCTCCTCAAATTCAGCAAATTCTTTTGTTTCAGCTTTTGTACTGGAGCTACTTGATTCTGCAGTTAATCTATCTTTGTACATCACATTCTCATTGAATATGACATCTCTGCTTCTGATGATCTTTTGATTTTTATAGTCCCAAAATCGGTAACCAAACTCATCACCACCATAACCAACAAAAACACATTTGTTAGATTTGGCATCAAGTTTACTTCTTTCAGCAGAATCTATGTGTACATAAGAAATACAACCAAAAATTCTTAAATGCGAAAGATTTACCTCTTTTCTACTCCAAGCTTCTTCCGGAATTCTACCATCCAAGGGAACTGAGGGTCCACGGTTGATTAGGTAGGCTGCGGTATTGATAGCTTCAGCCCATAGGAACTTGGGCAGTCCGGCATGTATCCTCATGCTTCTGGCACGTTCATTCAAAGTTCTGTTCATGCGCTCCGCTACGCCATTTTGCTGCGGTGTCATGGGAACTGTTTTCTCCATCTTGATCCCGTTGTTTTCGCAAAACTCTTTGAATCTACTGTCTTTGTACTCTCCTCCATTGTCTGACCTCAACTTCTTTATCTTCAAACCAGTTTCATTTTTCACCATGACCTTTCATTTTCTGAAGGTATCAAAGACTTCTGATTTCTTCTTCAGAAAATAAACCCACACATTCCTTGTAGAATCATCAATAAAAGTGACATAGTACAGTGAGCTTGCAAGAGATGAAACTGGAGATGGCCCCCATACGTCGGTATGA